GGGCAAATATTTACCTTCTCCGAGTCTCACTTTCTTCACCTGTAAAATAGAGGAAATATTCCCTGATTCTTCGAGGTGTTGCGAGAATCATACGGGGAAATATATATGGCAAACACTAACATAATGGGTGACCCACAGAAGATGCCTGACAAACGTTTCCCTCCATTTCTACTTCCTCATCTATGCCAGGGAGAACCGCCTTCCAAGCTGGCTAGGACACCAAGGGTCTGGGGATTCCAGAGATGCTAACTGTAACGTAGTGAAGATGTGTTCTCCTGCCTATGTACTGTGTCATCTGCCTGGAATGCTCCTCCTTGTTTACTCCATCTGCAAGCTGTAGATCACAACCCATTAGTGAGTTATTAAACCAAGTTAATGAGTTGTGACCTTCACTTTTTTTAAAAAAAGAGGAAGACAAATAGAACGGAAAATAGCAAAGTTTACTGTACATTAAAGGTACACTTTGATGAAATTCTTCTTTCAGCTTTATGTGCGTATGTATTTACTGGGCCATGATGAATAATGTATTTCTTACTTTGAGTAAAAAGGTTTGAAGGCCTCTGGATTAACTCATACAAAATCTTCAAGAATCAATTCAGATATCCTTATATAAGGCAGCAGTAAAGATTCTCGGCCTCTCTAGAGGTAACTTTTCACACCACACTGCATTGTGATTGTCTTCCCCTCAGCTGTCCCCCCCACTAGATGTGAGTTCCTTGGGGACAGGAAACATGACTTCTACTGCTGGGTCCTCAATGTCCATTATAGGTCCTGGCACAGAATATACACTCAAAAGATGCTTGATGAATGCATAAATAAATTATAGTAACTGACTAAACATAAATTCACAAAATGCTCCAAATATGAAGCAAACAAACAAACAAACAAAACCTAAATTCACAACAGAAAGCTTATTCACTTGAACTCTCAAAATCGGTACCTTTTATTAACAAACGAACATGGGCCAAGTTTCTCTTTTATGTTCTTTCCTGTGACCTTTCACTCCCCATTGGTGGACTTACCTGCTTTTCTTTCTTCCCCTCTCCATTCTCCCAGTGTCCTGGGTGCTCTTGCTCTCTTTTATCAGAAGAAAGGATCTCTCCTTAGCCATTTGCACTTCTGTGTGAATTTAATCCCCTGTATCTCTGACCTTTCTTCATAGCTTTTAGATATAAAGGTGCATTCCTATTAGTAGCAGGAAAAGCCTTGTTCTGCTATAGGGATGCATTTAACAACTGATAAGAAGACGGGGAGTGCATATTTTAGAGCTAGGGAGACCTCAACCTGCCCATATGGAGAGCCCCAAAGTACATGCAATGAAACCCGAAACCCCGTATTCCAGTGGTTCAGGAGCCCAAGTGAATCTATGGCTGAAGAACTGATAATGTACTTGTGGAGCATTTTGAAAAATACTTTATTCAAATTTTTAATATTTTATTTACTTTTAAGGTTCTACAACTACATGTTTCACAATGCAGGAAATACACAATACGCATAGCCCATTAAATCAAACAGATGCAAATCACTGGCATACAACACGTACAGTATTATCATTAGCGACAATCAACTCCATTTGCATGGCACTACCAAAGCACTTCAAGCACCTTACAAAAAAGATTAAAAGAAGGAAAATGATTACAACTAGATTGGAAAATAGAGAGGGCTGGCTCAAGTTTACAACACCGCCTGGCTCAGATGTGCTAGTTCCCTCCCTCTCTCTTCCACACTGTCGGGCAAATAAATCGCCACCACCAGGGAGGACCATTTCTAGTAGGGGAATGAGGCCAACTTCTGCAATATCCTGAGGAGATGCACTATCTTGGACATGGTCAGCGCAGGGCTAATGCTGGGAGTGTGAGGTGTGAGAGAGTGTGTGCGTGTGTATGTGTTGTGCATATAGGGAAGAGGAGGTGACTCCAAGGGGAAGGGTGGTTTTGTGGTGCAAACAAATGTTCTACTAAGTCAGCTAAATTGTTTATTACAGAACAAGAAGCTGCTTGCTTTCTGGTTTAGGTTTCGGCTTCATGGAAAAATACGAATAGTACTAAAGAAATCCCCTATGAAATCCCTATAGTACAGTTTATCCTGTGTAAAAACCCCAAAGAGGTTTCTGTTTGAATTTTTCCTCTCAGCTAATCTACTCCTTAATCCAAGAGTCGGCCACTGTGCTGATGGAAGCACACTGGGATTCATGGCCAAAGTGCGTTCAACAGCTGAGATGCACAAGCTGTCCCCTGAGCAGGTGGAGTGAGGTGGCACTAGGAGGCAGGACATCTAACTCTGCCACCAAATGGCTGTGGGGTCCCGGGCAAATCCCTTCCCTCCTGGGGCCTCAGTTTCCCCTTGTGCAAATTAAACGGTGGGCCTGGTGATAGCTAAGGTTCCAGCCCTAGAATTACATAAAGCTGAGCAGAATAAAGAGAATAATACTCCAGGGTGTCATTCTCAGATTAAAGAGACATGCTCATCATCTGATGTTTATATAATCAGAGAAATTCTGTTACTGATTTATTCTGAGACAGCAACTAGCTGACTTTCTAAAATAAGCACAATCAACTGGCACTAGTTCTATTCAAGCGATCTGGATGAAACAAGCATATCTATGAAAATCCTATAGCTAAAACTGGTGTAAAACAAACAAACAAACAAACATACTTAATCATTTTTAGTAAGAATCCCCTTTAGGCCTTGCCATTTCATTTCATTTTATTAATTAATGAAATTAATTAATTTAAATTAATTTATCACATTGCATGAGAACAAGGCCAGGGGATCTTGTAAGTTCTTTCCCTCTGATTTTACTCTATTCATGGTTCATATCTTTTTCCAATTCTATGCCTCTAAAAGTCATTTAGATACTGAGGTCAGCCCTCTACAACACACTTTTCGTATCTTGTGAAGAAATAATTTGGGAAATTTCCCATTTAGTGTCAGCTATTTTTGAGCCTCATTTAAAAGTAGTTCCTCCTTTCAATATGACCTCCAACTATTAGAATGTTAACAAGGTAACATTCTTTATTACCTTAAGTCTTCATCTCTTGTATGTTATAGTTTTATTTACCATTTTAGAGAATAAAGGTCTGATTCTGAGTAACACTATTATTTCAAATAAGTCTATTAGTCTTACATAATAGCATCATAGCACTTCATTTAATTTTCCTAATCCTCCACAACTTAATTAACAGGAGTAAGCTATTACCAGTATATTTTTGGCAAACTCCTTCTAGTACATTGACATGTTTATGCATTCTATTTTTTAACAAGACACCAACAATATGGTAATGTTTCCTTCCAGTTTTATTCTATATAACCATTCCATTTTTATTAGCTGATTTATCTCTAACCTACTAACCTAATTGGCTTTTCCTAATTTGCTACCCAAGACTAAAACATTTCAAGATTAGAAAATATTTTATATCACAAAGAATAGCAATACAACACAAGTAAGGAGAACAGAAACAGCTACTTTCCATCATATTTGTGATGTCACTACAAGACATGTTCTAGGGTGGTCCTCAACAGTTCCTTTCACAGATTACACAGAAATGTATCAAAATAATCTTCCAAAACGCAGTTGAACAAATTTGGGACATTGATATTCTGGGTTTTTTTTATTTTAAATCTCAGGACTTCTGAGGTACTGGAACTCCCTGGAATAAGAAGGGGCTCTATGCTTGTCAGAGAGGCCAGCAAATCAAGGCCTTCGAGAACCTGCCGCCTTCTGGAATCCTGCTCCCTTCTTGGCCCTGCTGTGCCTACCTAATACACACAAAAGATAACTTTATAGCCAAAGAGGAACCAACAGGACAAGTCAATCCAAGTACATCAATTAATGTCTATAACATGCACCTCATGTCAAGAAAAGACAGTGAAATTTCAGATCAGGAGGATATGGCCCTAGGTGGGAATCAGACCAGATCCTGAGGGAGAGAGAATACAGTGAGGATGGGCATGGTTCCTCCACTGATACCTGGATTCATCTGCACCATTAACTGGACATCACTCTCCCCCTCTGGCTGTTAATACTTACATTATTATTATTGTAAGTCATCATTCTTTTTAATTGAATGATAGTGGAATGAAGAATAGTTTCCAATTGGAATTAGGAAGATTTTCCTAGATTTTATGAAAAACTAGGAATTAATCCTTTAATATGACATAAAATCCTTAAAGAAATATGATGAATTATTTTTAAGAAACAACTGGATACTTCAAATTCACTGAGTTTTTACAGTTTGCAAGTGTACAGTTTTCTGGTTTTTTTTTCAAGTGGAGTCAGCACTGATGAAGTACATTTTGGGAAGAATATAGAAGGCTTATGCTAAGAGGTGAATGTTATAGTTGAGTGATGATGGATCTTACTCAAGAGTTAACTATGGGGATGAAAGACCACAGGGCATTTCAAGTTCAATCAATCATCTTTTTTTCTGGTAAATTAATGAGTTTCGACAGGCAAGGAACAAGTAACTTTTGTGGTTTGAGAATCAACTGGTAATGAGATGCCACAGAAGAAAGTCATTCTACCAAGACTTTAAGAAAAAAACCACATAGCTCTTTGAGAGAGTACTTCTGATTTCCAATCAATACACCAAAGTTAATGCATAGATGTCAAGCAGGCCAGGAAGCAATATGAGAATATTTTCTTCCCATACTGATGGTAAGCCAATGTCCAGGGCTTTGGCCCACATATTCAATTTAAGATGTATCAGAACTGAAAATATTTCTTATTATTTTTACTACAACCTATGCTAAGAACTTTACCCTGGATCACAACATGGTCAAAGAACTTGTTAAAAGCAGGGGCCTTTAACTAATTTAACATAATTAATAACATTTCAAAAATTTCTTCAAAATGGTTAAACTTAAGGTCTTACAGTGGTGTATTGACAAGTGTAGGTTAGTCAAGAACACGTGTCCCGTTGCTATAAGGCGTCGCCTTTGTCTCCCCAAGCTGATGGCTCACAAGTACAGATCACAGTAAGAAATACACTGTTGCCTACCTGACATAGAGAGAGCGTTTCTGATTGGTTCGCAGGGACCCGGACCCGGAGCTCATGCTGTGGTTCATCATCTGCTCTCGTAGGTCATGGATTTTGGCCTCAAATCGAGCGTAATCTGGGAATGGAAACGGAGGTGGCAAATTTGGTTCTGTGCCTTCAGCAAGTTAGAAATACTGCACACTCAAGGCAACCCTTCGTCCCTGCTGTTGGTCCCTTTGCCAAGCCACGGGGAGATGCACAATGCAAGAATGGAGGAACACAGAAGGTTTACTTTCATATTATTTATTTGAAGACATTCACCAGAGGGAAAGAACAAACCAGTTACTTCCCAAAACGTAACTCAAAAACATACCACCACCAAATCCCCAATATGTGAAAAGTCCATGGGGAGGAGGTGGGTGTTTTTATAAATGGGCTATACAAGGTATCCTTGTTGGTGATGGAAATGTTTCCTGTCTTGACTGTGGTCGTGGATACAGGTACTTGCACATGTGATAAAATGACACAGAACTCACTACACACACACACACACACACACACACACACACATGATTACAAGTAAAGCTGGGAAAACTGGAATAAATTTGATGGATTATGTCTATGTCAACATCCTGCTTGTCATAGCATGCTACAGATTTCTAAAATGTTACCACTGGGAAAAACAGAGTAAAAGTACATAGGATTTCCCTGTATTGCTTCTTACAACTGCATGTGAATCTATAATTATCTCTAAATAATAGGATTAATTTAGAAATGAGAGGGTAAAAAACCCCAAAAGTTCATAGGATTACCAATAGTATAGGGGCTGAGGTGAGTCTCTAGTTACCCCCAGCCAGATAGACCAGAGTATCAAGTGTTTGGTGATGAACTGTGTAAAAAACGCCATTTAGGGCTTCCCTGGTGGCGCAGTGGTTGGGAGCCCGCCTGCCGATGCGAGGGACATGGGTTCGTGCCCCGGTCCGGGGGGATCCCACATGCCACGGAGCGGCTGGGCCCGTGGGCCATGGCCACTGGGCCTGCGCGTCCGGAGCCTGTGCTCTGCGACGGGAGAGGCCGCAGTGGTGAGAGGGCCGCGTACCACAAAAAAAACAAAACAAACAAAAAAACGCCATTTAATTTTGCTAAGTTTTTCCCCCCCTGGGGGGCTCCTAGAAGCTGATTACTTGGGATCATACCTCAACTTTGCCTTATAGCTTTAATATAAAACATCACATGCCAAACTTCATCAATTCTAATACATACAATATATTTAAATCAGCTTCTCAGGAGATCAGGGTTCGAAAATAGTAAATCTATTTTAGAAATATTCAAAGAAAAAACATATGGGTCTAAAAAAAATCAAGGAAATATAATTATTAAAAGATGCTATTTCATCACAGGAAAAATTTTTTCACCATATCAATCCAATAAAAAGAAAGAAAGAAAAATAGGTTTTAAGACACTCCGTAAAACAATGAGCATAGAAAAGGAAATGGCTTTTGAAGTTTCCATGTTCTTGATCCCAACTTGGTCTGTCACCTCCCTGGCACAACTGTGTCTTGCTTTCGGAGAATTTAAAGCATGAAGAATTTTCACAGAGGTCCTCAGTACATTTCAGAAAACAATGTGATTTTCAATTCAATTTATCCGTAACTTTTCACAAAAACAGGAATGACTAAATGAATATAATACAAGATGATCTACTTACAGTGTACTTCAAATTTTTTATAATAAAAAGTTCCATTAAATTTAAATTCAATTTACTGAATATCTGTTGGCTGTTGTGGCATGGAATTTCATAAAGAAAATGATTTGACCTTAGTTTTCAATGACAGACAGCAATGAATTCTGAATGTTAAATATTTTTAAAGTTTAGTGCTCTACAGACAACCCTAACTGACAGGAAATTTCTGGTGTTTAGGCGAAGTCTGATATTACCTAGATTTGGAACACTTCCTGTTCACAACTTCTCTTTGAATGATTAAATCCTAAATGTTTAAATAAGCCGAATACCTATTTAACCTAAAATCTATTAACCATAATTTAAGATATTTATTTCATTTCATTTTAGCAGAGAGAGAAAACACTTATTTACAGCCATAAATATGATGCTATATGCAGATTTAAATCATTCTGAGCAAGTCATATTTTCTTGCCATCCTATTAATATCCAATTAATATTACTGCCAGCCACATGGCAGATGCTGTGCTCAGGGCTTCATAAGCATTATTTCATTTCTTATTTAAATTACAAAACGAAGTCCATGGATGTTGTAAAAATGTGAACCATACAGAAAAACACAGAACAAAAAATGAGAGGTCCCCATCCCCCCTTCTACTCTCTCACTGCTGTCCTTCCCTATAGCGTAGCCTATAGGTACATAGCTGGCGGGTGCTGGACTTCCGCAGACATTTCTCAATTCATTTGAATATATACATACTCCCACACACATATGAGATCTTAATTATATATTATGCTCATGTTTTTTCCTCCCTTTTTAACAGTGTTAACTTGGATCTTTTCCTACCCTCTCTCAAATAATAAGTATCATGTTTCTTAATACCCTTAATTACATTCCACAGTTTAGACTATAATTTATTTAACAATTCCCATATGACAGCCTTTGGTGTCAGACAGGGATCTTGGTGTACGTGAGCACATCCATGGCAGGTCTGTACAGCACCACAGCATGAGTATCAAAGCTTTGCACAGAGTCACACAGCCCCCATCAGCATTTTTTGGAGAAAATAATCTAGCCTGGAACACAGAGCTGGAACTCTCTGTTCCTTCTGAGCCATGCTCCACACTGTCACTAGCTAAACACCATGCATCGCCCCTAAGAATCACTCAATCTGCCATCTGTTCCCAGGACAACCCCTCTACCATTTGATGACTTTATTATCATGACAAAAACCTGAACTCCCACCTCCAACCATCTCCCCCCGCCCACCGAAACACCTAATTCAGTGCCAGTCCTCGACTACATACCGACACTTTGCTACTTTACTGTACTCATCACACCAAACTGCAGTCATTTGCGCCGTTGCTCACCTTCCCCATTAGATTGAGTTCAGCAAGCCTTTCCCTGTTCCTAACCTAGTGTCTGGTATGCAGGAGGCATTTAATAACAGGTGCTCAATAAACATTTTCTGAATGAATGAATGAATGAATAAATAATGAACGAGGAAGTGAGAGGAACTGAAATGAATTCAGTTCTAAAATGCCTGTAGGACTGTAATTGCCTGTTTTCAATATTAAGGCTTTTTTTTAAATGTAGAAAGACAAGATGCTTCTCCTCTAGGACTTTGGTTTCAAGGCTAATTATTCTGCCTAATTTCAAGGCTTTACTCCTGTCTAATTATGGCCACTCCCAAATCCCACTGTTGTTTTTACTATTCTCTTGGCAGTCTCTATGCTCTCCCCATCTCAGCCATGTCATACATTTTGGAAACAGTTCTCTGATACTTAACTTGTATGCCATCAGCACTTTATTAGGCTCTTCCTGTGTTCTCCTTACTGTATGGCTCATTAGATCCCCAAAATGTTTTCTACCATCCTTTTGAAATGTTTATTCTGCATCGTATTCTATGGTGTTTACATTCTCCACTGTGGATGGGGAGGTATTATATTGTGTGTTGTATTGTATTGTATTGTATTTGTCTTAACTGGAATCCATCTTGTTCTCAACTTCTCCACTTTGACAATCATGTTAAACACAAATCCTGTATTCAAAAGTGTTTATCCCTCTTTGCTCCTTTTCGAAAAATAAAGTTTTACAAGTAATTTCATCAAAGCAAAAACAATAAGATCTGAGTTTACAAATATAAATGGTGTGTGTGTATACATGTGTGAGAGAGAGACAGAGACAGAGAGGAGAGGGGCTATGTCTCCAGCCTCTCATAGTTAAACAAGTTTAAAGTTAGAAATGCTCTAGAAATAAACAAGAAAGTAGATACATAAATTGTGAAGTATGTCTTCTTTATGCTTTACAATAGTATTGAAACCTACATTTTCAACAAGTTAAAAATCTAACACTACCACGTCCATTTAATCTTAATTCCCTCTTCTTTCCCCAAATGTTTCATTCACATCCATGCCCTCCCCTTTGGGATATTTTCCAATAAAATCCTAACACTCAGGAGAACATTCTAATGAGATTTTAAAGTGCTCAATCTTTATATATTCTAAAGGAAAATTCATGTTTACTGAACTGTGCACCTGCAATAGACTACTTTCTGTGCTACATACTTAAAAATTATGTTATTTCTCCTAACAAAGCTCTGAGGTAAGCATATTATTTTAGAGATGAGGAAACAGGTTCAGAGAGGTTAACTAACTTCACCAAAGTCACAAAGCTTCTAGGTAACAGAGCTCCTTGGACATGGAGCTAGCATTCAACCCTGGATCTCTGTGAGGTCAGTCTGTCTCCATCACATCTTAGTACCTATTAAAACACCACAATCTTCCCTTAGAACCTAAGGTCTCCTCAATTCTCTACCCCTCCCTCCTAAAATCTCACCCTCCTTCCTTTCACCTACTGTATTATGTACATGCTGGTCCTCTCCTTTATTGTCCCATAAACTCCTTAGAGAGTGGGTATGCCTCACTCATCTCTGTTTCTCCAACCTCAAGATCTATCATTCCTCCTTCCCTACACATGGGATTGTACTAGGTGCATGGCATATAGTTTTGAAAAAGAACCTAAAGGAGTTTACTTCTTGAATGGGACACTGACAAGGAAATTAAGCAGGATAATGCTGAGGTGGGAAACTGCATTAAAGAAGCAGGACCTTAAGCCACTATGGAAAACAGTATGGAGGTTCCTCAAAAAAATTAAAAATAGAATTGCCGGGACTTCCCTCGTGGCGCAGTGGTTAAGAATCCGCCTGCCAATGCAGGGGACAAGGGTTCGAGCTCTGGTCCAGGAAGATCCCACATGCTGTGAAGCAACTAAGCCCGTGCACCACAACTACTGAGCCTGCACTCTAGAGCCCGCAAGCCACAACTACTGAGCCTGCACACCGCAAATACTGAAGCCCGCGTGCCTAGAGCCTGTGCTCCACAAGAGAAGCCACTGCAGTGAGAAGCCCACACACCACAACAAAGAGTAGCCCCCGCTCACCGCAACTAAAGAA